ACAAAAATGTTCAAGATATATAAGATATATTACATGTATAATGATGAAGTTGGAGTTGGTGCCATGTGCCACCCTGAGGGATGTCAATATCCTCTGGCATGGAAGGTAGCCATGGTGACCTACTAAAGGTGTTTTAATGTTATGTCTATTTTAAAAATGACATCTTCACTTCACTTCACTTTAATAAAAACAAATGCGACATTGATAATGAGACAATAATCATGCATCTGGCAGTCTAGTTTGACATTAAGTGGAAAAACTGGAGATCTTTGCTGCGAAAATGGGCATGATATTGTCTATATCTCTTGCGGAAGATTGTTCAAATTACTGATTGTTATAGTGATGAAACTATATTGTAAAATATTACATGCAGAAAATTGCAATAACAAGCACGTTTAGCATACTACTGAAACAGCACGAATGATTTTTACATTTTGTGTCAAACTATTTGTAAAGAGCACATGATGGACATTTTCATTGGCTCAAGTTACATTTTATCTTACATAATTTTCACATATTTTGACCAAAAATTGCAGCAAACAAATTAAACACAAAATTCAATTTTAGGGGTTTTGCATTTTTTTCACTATATTACTCAAGGACTGCTTTAAGTGCACTTGAAAGATTTATTCTCAATTCCAAGTCTTTTCAAGGGTTTCAAAAAGTATAGCATGATCCCAGAAAAGTTTTAATATGTGAAATCATTCAAGTTTATATATGGTTGTCTAACACTCTGATAAACCCCTCGTAAACAATACAAAACTATTGAAGGATGGCACAATACCGATAAAATGTGTATTTAACACAATGCCATGCTTACTAAGTATTATTAAGTTATAATTTAAAAATATTGGACAAGTATAGTGTAATTCTTATACAGCATTAATTATTAAATACATCTAAAATGCAAAAAACAATTATTATAATCATTGACAATACATATTATTGATAAAAAGTAAAAAGGAATTCCTTAAAAAGAGAAGAGCACTCATCAGGGCAATGCTTTCTTTTTTTAAATGCACTCTATTTTACCAAAAGTACAAAATTATAATGATTTATTTTTCTATGAATCACGACATTTTTTCGCTATTATGTGTAGACCTCCATATTTATAACCATTAAAAGTCAATATAATTACACAATAYTCATCATCATCATAACTCTTTGCGCCAGTAGGCGCATAAGGCCTTCAACCCCTCTTTCCATCCACCTCTATCYCTTGCKGCCATTTYGGCTTCATTCCAAGTCTTCCATYCTTGGAATTCAATGACTGTATATTATGGTAACTGATATTTCAAATAATTATCGAATAAACTGAATAATATATAGAAAAACACTAACTTATAATTCCAAATAGTTTTTAAATTGATCTGCAAATATTTTCAATGAGAAATAGAAATCTCATGAAACTACCCATGATTCATCAGTGAGTGTTATTAACGGCTACAATTAGTGGTCAAAGGTTTTGCCAATGACTGTATAACAATTTATATTATTGATGCAATTATATACACTACAGAATTTAAAGTACTTGAACTTGGTCACGTTCTACTAGCCATACTGGGTATCATTTGTTATCACGATGATTGGATATGAACGGTTACAGCAGGAACATGAGTGAGTGGATTGATAATATAGATAGCCTTGTTGATCTAAAATTATACCCAGAGGCTAAAATGAAGAAGACTGAAAAAAGAAAATTGGAATTTATTTAAAAAGGAATTGCCGACTTAAGAAGGAAAAAATAAGAATAATGAAAATAAGATTTAAAGAAAAATATATAAACAAAAAAATTAAAATAATAATTTTATAAATTATAAACAAAATGCAGGTAAATAAAAAAAATAAATATTAAACAAATTATAAAATTCTTTGAAAAGCAAGAATAATAAATATTTCAACTGTCTTTGCTTTTTGTTTTGTTTTGCTTGTAACTGGGCTTTTGTTGTTGTTGTTGTTTTTTTGCTGTCATAGCAACATGTATCGAGACGAAATAGACAAAATGGCTGATAGCCATTACATGAGTCATCTTGATCATAATCATATGTTACGAGAAAAGTGACTGATTCACTGAATAAATGGAAATTGTAATATTAAAGCTGAATTATTACAAAAGTAAGCCAACTTAAGCCATGAATGATAAATTAAAATATGTAATACATAATGAGGTAATAAATTATGGTAATTTCTTTGCTTCTTATTGTCAAATCAACACTTTAGAAAATATGGTCATTTAGTTGTATTTGTAAAGTTTTGTATTTTTGTTGTTATATACACTATAATCATAATTATAGAGCTTATAATTATAGGTCCTTATTGACCTATTGCTAAATATGCCTCATGAAAATAATACAGTTTTCGAGTTCTCTTTTGTGCAAGGTTAGCTTCAATTAAGCAAAAATAATTATCATTATCTTCTTTGTACATGGAGTATTTGCATTACAATAGATTCTCTGCTGAATAAAAGAATATAGAACATGCTTTGGATGTAAAGGCTGCATAAATAAGATCTCGAAACTGGAGTATAACAAATGGGTTCCATTTTTTTTCGCGTTCCTGTTCTCCAATAAAAACTGATCATGATTATTTTTTATTCATCACGTTCTGACATCTTCCGTGTATCTATTAAGAGTACAGAAGCAAGGAAAAATGGAATCTTTTTGTCTAAAATGATACTTTCCTTCAAAATTCTACTGAGCACAATATAAACTTCWTTGAAACTGTTGATGAAAAGATGCTTTGACCAATCAGAGAGTTTGYAAGATTGAAAGCTGTCATACTTTAAAAACACATGGTTCTCTACCATTCAAAGAGAGCATAATATACCAAATGTCATTCATGTAACTATAATGTTTTATAATGCTGATTATAATGATYACATGTAACAGATAATTATAAACAATATAGACACAACCGTCCATTATTTTATAATCGATAAGTGGTACAAATAATAATAAAAAAAATTAGGAATTTTTACGAAGTTGACCATATGAAAGTCAATATTTGCCTAGTTTTTTGATCAAAAATTGTTTGAGCACAATTTTATTTACTGAAGACAGCAATATCTTCTTTTGTACATCCTTTGTTTTATAATATTAGTTTGACAGCTAGCCAACCTCAATAAAATATACACTACATTTAACATGTGCAACTTGAGACATTTAAGCTATGCTAAAATTATAATTTATATTCAAAATGAAGTGCCAATAATTCAATTTATTTACTTCAAGATGTAAAGAAGTTTAARGAAGTTGACGTTTTTATATAAAAAATATTTTAATAATTTGATGTGAAATTCAAAACTTTTAATCTATTAAATGTCAATTTTTTGGTGAGATAAAAAGTTGTGCTAGTTTATTGGATTGGGGATTATCTTTATGTTTATTATTGACGTTGTAAACTAGGCCCTTTATTCCAAAAATAATAGCACAAATTTGCATAACCATGTGAAAATGTGGTTATTTCTGAACCAAGGAAAAATTTAATCATCAAAACATTTGACAAGGAAGAAACAAATAAGCTCAAAAGGATTAAAATATTTCAGTTCTAAAGTCAAATTCTTTGTTGAGRCACGATTTAACATCTTATAATGTTAAAAAGATTATTTACAGCCATTTGGAGGGTATATTAATTTTTATTTTTACTTTTGATTGGCCGCTGTGAGCACTAAACAAAAATCCACAGCAAAACAAAAAAACAAAGCTCTGTTTCTGGTTWAAAATATCACGAAATACCAAGGAAAGAATGTTTTTCGTACGAAMTTAAATCGACGCAAATAAATTTAGCAGCTACGCATCGGTCATGTCAACGCGTGAGGATTAAATTTGATTGAAACGGATCGTATTTATTTTGACAAAAAATATTCCTACTGGCTAGCTTCAATAGTTTGAAACTCCAGGGATGCAATATAACAGTTTGAACGAAATCACGCAAAACTCAACGATAGCGAAATGATAAAATGAAAACGATGTTTCTCGTAAACTTGATGAAATCAACCAGTGCACAAAGTTTGACGCAAATTRTCAAGATTTTTCCCTGGTAAATTTAAGAATCTGTCCAGTTTTTAGCTGGTCTATTTTAGCGCTATAAATATTTGAATAGACCTTGAAATCCTTTCAGTGTTTGTTCGAATGCTGGGGTTATTTTTCAAGACAGGGCTTTGTCAAATCGTGGCATTGTACTGGAGATCGAGCTATACGATCTGCCAAACACCATCTGCCCTCAACGCTATCAGGAAAGTACAAAATACTACACAAATAAACGTCCAGAATTTTCTTGAAACACTTTCTCAATGAATAAATTTGAATTCTCCATTCTCATCCGTAGTTTTAGGATGCAAATGTTGTGTTTACGTGCTCCGAGAAGCAACAAGAGTGGTCTGTTTTGACAGAAATCGTTGTGTGCGTTTCGCTTGCGACGAGTGGATTTTCTCACCTTCAGAAGGACTTGCTCACTRAGCTTTGTACGATCTATTATTTTAACAGCGACCTTCTTCTTATTTTGGCAATGAATACCAAGCTTTACCACACCTGATTAACCAAGAAATCATTTAAAAAAGTCAAGTTTAGTTCGAATTCACGAAGAAGCGCGAAAATTTCAGCTGTGCGAGAATCCTTACCTGTCTGTCCTCGGCCTAGCGTTTCTTGCAAAATAAAGGGCCCAACAGTCTTTATATCCAATTTGGACATTGTTGACAAGTTGTGCTTGTGCCAGGCCTACGGATGTAGGAGTTTTACGTCTTTAGCGGGTCGAAAAACCCAAATAATTTCATCCATGCCGTCTCACTTCGACAAAATTTCTTTTTGAACTTTGAGAGTCCAGAATGAAACGCGCGGTTCAAAGGATTTATTTACCGGCAGCTGTCAATCATTCTATTGTTGTATTCTTCAGTTTGATTGGTTGAGTAAATATCAGAAACAAAGTTGTAATCGGAAGTGAAAATCCCAATTTTGAAACAATTTTGTGCAGTAGAAAATATTATTCTCAATTTCCCCGAAGGCATGTAATCAAGTTCGATCCCTAGTGAGAGGGTCATTACACTATGTACATCAATAAACATCGACTCAACGTGAATTCTACGCTTATTATCAGAGGAACCGAAAAAGCACTTTGTTTGATCGGATAATATTCAGCTATTGTGTACTGCGACGGAAAGCATGTCACATTAGCATAAGTTATAGTATTCTCAATCTTCTGATCGTTGTTTGAAGGCAAAGGGGCGTGCGCGCGTCAAGAATCTCAGTCATCARTTTTGGCGCCAATATTTTGGCGGGAAATCAGACCCCTACAATAACTTAATAACTMTGTGATTATTTTTATGAAATATATCAACACTCAAAAGGGCGCCGAATGCGATACTCTTCAACCAGACGCTACTGGATGATAAAGGCACAGCTGATTTCACGAAATTAACCGGGATTCCTGTGGAGACAGCTGTTGAAGTCCATAGAAGGTTCCAGAAATGTGTTTTCTCATGATCGTGCGTGCAAATTCGATTCTCTTCCATTTGCGACTTAATTAATACGTGAAAGATATTGATTGTAATTCCTTCTTTTGTTTATGAATGGCACGAAATAACAGCGTGTGTTTTAAAGGGTGAATTTCGGTTTTAAATGAATAAGAGATTTTTTCCCTTAATGTCCAAAGGTGTCATAAAATTTGACGCCTTTTAAACCTCATACACGTACTAAACTGTTGTTTGAATTTATTATTACAGGCCTATTCTTTTCATTATTTTTGACATATTCGGTTGTTCTAATGTTTTTGACAAGTTGTCACGTACTTGTATCGCCATATTGTGCATTAATTCAGTGAATATAAATGATCTATATGTCAGAGATTATAATCATCATCATAATCATCGTCGAAGAAATCATCTGAGCTTTAATATCTATGATTTTTTCAATATATCAGATATTATAATCATCACCATCATTCTCAACACCGAAGAAGTCGTCTTAGCTTTGATCACCTGTGCTTTTTTTGCGCAAAATCATTACGAGAAGTAATTTGTCCATACACTCTAGCCGCACGTTCTCATAATCAATATGTCGGCCAAGGTACTTGAAAATAGTATTTAAAGTCACCCTGCAAGCAGCCCGACTTTCTGACTGTATTATTTAAAAACTCTCACCCTGAAACACGCAAAGAAGTAGAACACATTTCAATTTAAAATTTTAAAATTCATATTTATTATAAGGTGTTTCGATAAAAGTCGTTTTTTATAAGGAATTATTTTATGATTATTACATTTTCAATGAACTTCGTTTAATTCATTTGACAAAGTCACACATTAGAAAACCACTCGCGTTGCGTGACGGTAAAGTTAAAGACGCACTGTGTGACAGATATGCAAAGTTCGTATAGTTACTGATCGTTTTCAACGATTCTCCATTCAAAAGATAAAAGACCGGCGGCCATGTTGGAGGAATGAACAATCGATACTAATGAGAAATCCTTTGTTGAGCTCATCCAAGATGGCCGCTGTGACGTAACTTGAAAACGAAGAATACAGTCCTCACAGAGAGAAAATCGAAGAGAACAGTTCTTATAAAATGCTCTTAGTACTTCACATAAATTAAGAGAATTTCCGTTACTAAATCCTTAAAAAATATTTTTGGAATGATTCGCTGTGGTCATTGCTATCTAAAGGTTTGATAGAATTGATGTGATTTTGTAACATCAAGTTCACCAAACGAAATAAAGGACCACTTACACCCAAGATCCTTTGCGATCATTTACTTTGCTTAAAAGAGTTCTGTTAAAAGTYACTCTCTAATGGTGGTCTAAAATCAAAGATGTCGACTTTTCGTATGTGACACAAATTGCGCAAAGGTTCTTGAAAGCATGCGGTCCTTTAACAAAACATTTTAGTATATATTATCTTGGTTCAAGTTTTTAAGTTTCAACTATGAGAAATGAGTAGATTCAAAACCTTGGGATTCCTGTGCTAAATCAAAAATTTTCACTTGTAATACCCTGAACTTTGGGCTACCTGTGGCGTAACTGCCAGAATATTAATAATCCAGTTTCGAATTCTCCAATGCTCTAGCCTCATTTGTGCGCAAAATATTCGTAATTGTGAGAATAAAAGTGTGAGATTTCATATCAATTCTATTGTCTTTCTTTTCAAATTCCATGCGTTTTCACAGGCTATCAATAAAACAAAAGAATATGTTGCTTGGTTTTGAGGCTAACACAGAGCAAACCAGAACTCGAAATTGGAGTATTGTGTAAATCTGATAATGCGACCAATTTAGTTGACAATCATTAATGGCTCCAGTGCTCGGAAGATCACTTTTGCTCTCATTAGTATCTTAAAGGAGAAATCACGGACTGCAGGGACCTTTTTGATGAGGATCCAGGAGAATAATACCAACATTAGGGCATACATGCTCCAGCGGATGTTGCGAAGTCTATCGGGAAAACAAAAGAACTTTAATTAATACTTTTTTAAATAACTTTTTCTAAGCGCCATCATGAAAGTAACGCCTTTGAATAAAATTATTGATACAGATACATGCCGCAAGATATTTTAAATCACGTTCAATACTATTATTTCATGTGCCAAAGCCTACGGCCCCTGGCACGAGGTATAGATTGCTCTGTGTTGCTGTGCGTGTAGTTTTTTTTTTATTTCCAGGTCATAAGTTTGGGTGACATCATCACAACTCTAACCGTTTTACTCCGACGAAGGTTTTACGTCCGAAACGTCAGTAAGTTAATGTTACAGTACTATACGTTTTTACGGTGTTAAATTTTTCTTTTTACACAACTGTTTCTTTAGAAACACCGACGCAGCTCACACTAGTTTACCGCTAGTTCCCACTGTTTGGAAAATGACCATTCTGCTACTACAAATCTTACTTCTTCTACAGTTACTTAGACTTTTATAGTACAAATTACTCGAAAGGCTTACGATGTGGTAACATTACGCTGACGTCTGCGCATGTGCAGCTCTAGCTATCACATAAGATTGTCACCAACCTCGATGAGCGTAAAAAAATACCGTTTGAGCGATTAAAGTACTATCTTGAACTTACTTCCTGATCCGTCTTTGTGCTTTGTGTAAGTTTGATGTATCTTCTTTGAGGAGAAACGTTTTAATTCCAATAAGAAAGTTTTCAAAGTACTCTCTCCAGTCAAAATCCCGGATATCAAAATTGAAGACCTAAAGTGACACAATTTATAAATAGGTTTATCAAATAAATGGGTAGTGGTTAAATTATTGTTGTACCCCCCTCTACAGCCTATTTCATTTTTTTTTCTTTTTTTTCGGTTTCATGGGTTTTTGCATGGAGTCAGAAGATGTGGAAATCAGTATATTTCCAATACAAAGGAACCCCAATGGAGGAAAAAAGAGAGTATCGGAGAGGAGGCTAATATCCAGCCGGACTCCACAGACAACACTTCACCGTGCCCTTTTGGGATTCCTTTGGAATCCATATTTTTTTGTCAGGTCACAGTCTCCTTTGTTCATTGAGGAAGACAGGAAACCGAAAAGTGGAAAGAAGCGAAAAGCCTGCAGAGGTGCCTAACTAATATGTTGTCAGATATATCATTTACCTTTTTATGTTCTGGAGTTAATTCTTCCAACAACTTCAAATTATTAGTAGTCGCAAACTAATGAAAAAAGAAAAACAGAAAATGCATGTTCAAAAAATTGCTGGTGTATTTTCATGTTCACTCGCCACGCTTTTGCCTAGAAATCTAAGCCAATTTTTGTAAAATAATAGGAGAAATCTCTACCAAACAAATTCTGAATGAACATCTCTGCAAATGAGTTTGCTGGTATATATTTAAATGTTCAGAGATTTCTGTTTTGGTTTTGAGACAAGCTTCTCAAATGAGTTGGCAAAACAATGGGGRTGTAGCCTTTGATCATTTAATCATTGTTGTAATTAAAATTAAGAGACATACATGCCATTCCTTCATGGTGAAGGCAGTCAGGACTTCTGTAGCTTTGTCAAGTTTGCTATATAGTCTGTTCATTCTGTAAATGCAACAAAAAAGTCCATATCACACAGTTTTGCTTTTCACTTGATTCTTGACTCACAGAAATCATTAAATGAAGAAGAACTTTGGAAATTGAAAGCCTACTTTTTTAGTTTAAACATTCTTTGACACACAAGATTCACAAGATGAATTCAGTATGTTGAACCCAGTTCACTTTTGATTTGAAAAAACAAAAAATACTGCAACTGATGTATGAAGACTTATGGTTCTTGTTCACACAAATGCAAAAATGCACTTCTTCAATTTTCAAAATACTAGACACAAGGTACTGCTTGGCAAACCTTGGTTTCTTTCCAATGAGGAGAGTCATGGTGTCTGCAATCACTGCTGGAATCTTATGACTTATGTATGTCCAGTAGAAGTGGCGTAACCTAAACAGAGATGAACAATTTGGGGGTTAAATTCAAAAAAGATGATCGAAGGTAATGACAATGAGAAACGAGGCCATCAAACAATATCTTAAAGAAGGCAGAAGTTAAAGACAGGGGGTGATGGAGGAGGGGGGGGAATAGAGAAGACAGGGAAGAGGGTTAGAAGACATAGAGGAAAGGAAGGGAGAACAGAAGAAAGAAGAGACAAGATGAAAGTAAAGAACAAAGGATGGAAGGAATGAATGAAGGAAGGATGGAATTAAGCGAGGAAGGAAGGAAGGAAGGAAGGAAGGGAGGAAGGAAGGAATAAAGTAATAAAGGAAAGAAGAAAGGGGGAGTGACGGCAGGCACAAGCAAAGAAATGAAGAGAAACAGTCAAGAGAGTAGAACTAGGTGGACAGCAATCAAGGAAATAAAGATTGTCTGAAGTAACAAGGAAGCAAGAAAGGAACTTGTACCTTTGTGATTCAAATTCAAAATTTGGTCTTCTAAAAACATCTTCCATTGGATAGTTTTCAAATTTCTCCATCATTATTTGAGCTACAGGTACAAAAAAATATATGTATTATTTAAATAATATTGTATTATTTTCATATTCTTGTTTTATATTATTATTAAAAAACAGATTTCTGTTTTGAAGTCTGTTTTTCACAGCACTCTCTACCATTATGTTTAATATAGCTCTTTATATCAAGAGGAGCCAAACAATGAGTTTTCAATAGATACTTGTGAATGACTGACTTTAGGTGTGAAAGGTTTATATCTTTGCAATCTTATCAATCCTTTAGGTTGCAAAGGCAATACCCCAGTTTCGAGGTCTTATTTGTGCAGCCTTAAAGGGACATGGTCCACTAGCATGCAATGCGGTCGTGTTTTAGATTTTTCATAATGGAAAATGAGGTGACTTCGAATATCCATTTGCAATCCATTTCCATCCATCGGTTTAACGGTCGAATCTTAAAGCATCTACATTCATATAGTATAAAGGAATAATAAAGAGTAAGTTTTTGCTTATATTACGATGTATTTCTGTTTTCAAACATAAACAAAAGCTCGAAAGGGATGCTGTGGGACCATGTCCCTTTAATCTCGAAAGCAGGTAGTGTATTCTTTTATTCAGCAGAGATTCTATTGCAGCGCAAACACTCTGTGTACAAAGAAGACAAAAAAAAGCTAAGCTTGCACAAAAGAGAATTCGAAACTGGAGTATTGTGAAGGAAACTATTAAGAAATCATAGTAATAGTTCATAGTCCAGAAGAGCTTCATATATTTGACTGAATGACATCGAAACTAGAGTATTGTGAAGGAAACTATTAAGAAATCATTATTCTTACACAACTTTCCCCATGTGACTGGATTTATTGTCCCACTACAGCAGTTGTAAACTGGGATGCATTCACTCCTAAAGAATATGGATATGAGCAAATATTATAATTATCATACAAATATCAAATAAACTTTTTGTGGTTAAAACTAAAACGGGTAAAAAAGAGAGGCTGTAGCCCTTAAAAAAACAAGAGTGCCACGTAATATCAAAATTATGACTTTTTTTCCAACATCAAACATTATTTTCCAGGCATTGCACAAGGATAGACAATCTCAAAAATGACAAACGTTTGGGTTGTTGTCCAATTCTGCCTTGCTTTTGTGCAAAACCACAGTGCAACTTGTTTCCTGACTGCAAAAAGGGTTATTTAATATGTCCCTTGTAGTAGGAACACTTACCTCATTGTACCAGTTTTCCAAGCCACAGAAATCAACATGTTGACAGCAATGTCCACTGGGATGATATCTGAAATAGCTTTCAGGTCCCCCCTCATAGATCGCAACATTCCTTTTCCTGCCTACAAAAGGTAACCCAACATTTAAGAGCCAATACTTCCATTTTCAAATTCAAAGCGAATAACCGCTGTTTTATTTGACAGCAGATTCTCTTACACAAAGACCTTACCAAACACAAAATAAAGTACGAGAAAATGTTGTTGGTACAATAGTGCTAAAAATTTACATACTCCCAGAGTTAAGGTTAGCCCTATTTTTCCAGAAGGCTTGAAATAATAATAACAACATTTCCTCTTGTTTTCTTTTGTGTTTTGTCAGGTCTTTGTGTAAGAAAATCTGCTGTCAAATAAAGCAGAAGTTGTTTGCTTTGAATCTGAAAATGGAGTATTTGGTATGATTGCAAATCTACAGTACGGATGATTCCTGGAAATGACACGGCATGGTCAAAGAACCTCTTTATCTTATACAGGGTCCGTGCAGAGTATCAAAAACGAAATTTAAGGACTTTTCAAGGACTTTTTCCAGGACCAAAATTGTATTTTTAAGGNAAGAAGACAAAAAAAAAAGCTTGCACAAAAGAGAATTCGAAACTGGAGTATTGTGAAGGAAACTATTAAGAAATCATTATTCTTACACAACTTTCCCCATGTGACTGGATTTATTGTCCCACTACAGCAGTTGTAAACTGGGATGCATTCACTCCTAAAGAATATGGATATAAGCAAATATTATAATTATTATACGAATATCAAATATTAAACTTTTTGTGGTTAAAACCAAAACGGGTAAAAAAGAGAGGCTGCAGCACTCAAATGAACAAGAGTGCTATGTAATATCAAAATTATGACTTTTTTTCCAACATCAAACATTATTTTCCAGGCATTGCACAAGGATAAACAATCTCAAAAACGACAAACGTTTGGGTTGTTGTCCAATTCTGCCTTGCTTTTGTGCAAAACCACAGACTCCTAGCGCAACTTGTTTCCTGACTTCAAAAAGGGTTGTTTAATATATGTCCCTTGTAGTAGGAACATTTACCTCATTGTACCAGTTTTCCAAGCCACAGAAATCAACATGTTGACAGCAATGTCCACTGGGATGATATCTGAAATAGCTTTCAGGTCTCCCCTCATAGATCGCAACATTCCCTTTCCTGCCTACAAAAGGTAACCCAACATTTAAGAGCCAATACTTCCATTTTCAAATTCAAAGCGAATAACCGCTGTTTTATTTGACAGCAGCTTCTCTTACTTAAAGAACTTATCAAACAAAAAAGAAAGCACGAGAAAACGTTGTTAGTACAATAGTGCTAACAAACATTTACATTTTCCCAGAGTTGAGGCTATACTAGCCCTGTTTTCCCAGAAGGCTTGAATTTTATGTCTCATGGGAATACAGAGTTTAGTTTCAACTTACAATGCAAATTTCCGAGGCTATTGTAATAGCAACATTTCCTCTTGTTTTCTTTGTGTTTTGTCAGGTCTTTGTGTAAGAGAATCTACTGTTAAATAAAGCAGCAGTTGTTTGCTTTGAATCTGAAAATGGAGTATTTGGTATGATTGCAAATCTACAGTACGGATGATTCCTGGAAATGACACGGCATGGTCAAAGAACCTCTTTATCTTATACAGGGTCCGTGCAGAGTATCAAAAACGAAATTTAAGGACTTTTCAAGGACTTTTTCCAGGACCAAAATTGTATTTTTAAGGAGCATCAAAATCATGCTAATTGTACTTTATTTTTTACCTCAAAACTTCCGCTGAACGGAATAATTCAGAGATCGCTAGCGCTTCGTGATAGAGATCCATCTTTTTCAAGGAGTTTTCAAGGACTTTTTTGAAATTTTCAAATTTTCAAGGAGTTTCAAGTGCAAGCACTTTTCAAGGATTTAAGGACCTGCACGGACCCTGCTTATATTATGTCTAAGTAGTATAATTATACATACCATTACAAACAGGCCAGAAGGTCCATTAAAATTATCAACCCATCCCTAAAGAATAACAGAAAACAAAAGTCAAGGCAGGACACAGGATGCCCAAAATARAGGACACAAAGCACAGGGAACCCAAATCACTTACAGGAATAGGCTCCTTGAGTGAAGCACCAATGATTGATGGTCTAAAAATAGCCACAGGGAGATCTGTTGCCTTCTGGGATAGCACATGCTCAGCCAGGCTTTTGGTGAATGTATATGTATTTGGTCTTTTGTCAATGAGAGCTGGTGTTAGAGCTTCRACCATCTTGTCAGTCATCCATTCTAGTGAAGTAATGAGTTTTTCTGGTTCGACAGTTGGTGGGTAAATCTTCTCTTCGATGTAGTCTCTGTCGCAGTTGGCATATGTGGATGATACATGAACTAATACCTAGAAAAATATTTATTGAATAGTAGTTTTAGATATAAAATATACATTAAATAATGAATAAAGTTAAATAAAGTTCTAAATACTTTGCAAAAGTTGCAGTTGTTTTAAAATGTGGAAAAATTTCTTCCAAGGGCCAGTTTACACTATGACATAAGCAGAAACCGAAGCAGAAACTTGTTCACACTTGACAAGGAAGCATGTTTTTCTGCTTATGATGTCCCCGTTCACACTCATAATCTTTCAACATAAGCAGAAACAGAAGCAGAAAAAAGTGAAAAACTTTTCATTTTCATCTGCTTCTGTCTGTGCTTCTGTTTTCATTGGTTCACACATACAAAATGTACTTCTGCTTCTGCTTATGTCACAATGCGAACCTGTCCAATGCCTTTCATCWTAGTTATTTTGCTTTTGTTCATTGCATGATCCATGTATAAATTTGACAAGACAGTAGGATTACTGAATTAAAGCACTTAAGCATATTTTTGAAC